CTTAAAATTTTATGTGAAATTTAATTTAAAGTTATGCTTCAAGCTTGAAAAACAATTTATAGTTTATTTTTTTATTTTGTAACTCACTTTTATAAACACAGTATTCAAATATAAATATTATTTTATATATAACAAAAAATATAACCAATTATTAAAAAGAAATATTATTGAACTAGTGATGTATACTAGAAATAGTAAATATTTTCGTCTAGCATAGGGTCAATGATTTGACAGAAGTACTTAGTAATTTAGTGGTTTGGTACAAAGATCAATAATGCAGGGATTAGTAATGCAGGGATTAGTAATGTAGAGATTGGTAATGCATGAATTATTATTATCAAGTGTTTGGTTCATTGTTTTTTAACTAGTTTTATGTGTGGTTTAAAGTTCTAGAAAAAAATTCTATTCAATTATACCCTTGAGTTGTTATGAGATTTTTATGTTTCATGTAATTGGATCAAGGTAGATAATTGACGGATAATATTATTTTCTCATAGCATTTTTAACTAGATAGGAGAATAAAACTTTGTTATCATATTCACTACGTTCTCACTTAAATTATTTGAAAGTAAATAATTGTCATCTATAAATTGGAGTCAATATCTCAAAATGTCACACAACTATAATAATATATAGGAAAAATTTATTGTACTTTGTTTTGTATCAATAAATCTTTTAAAAAACTCTTTATCATATAATAAATAAAAATAAACAATAGATATAGCAAAATTAATTAAACTATTTTTATGATCGAGATGTTTTATTTATATGTATATGCTCTTGTTTTAGACTACTTGTGTAATGTTTAATGAACTTCCGTTAAGAGACAATATTTGACTTATGAATTGTTCTTAAATTCATACATCAACATTAGCATATTAGTCGGATTATCATATTTTATATTAATAATAAGTAGATTATATAACTCATGTTTTAGAAACAAAAAATTATATCTAAATAATAAAATTTACAAATTAATTTATTTAAACAAATTTATTAGTATAAATATAAAATATAAAATCAAGAAAATAAACAAAAGGATTAAAAGGATTTGAGGGGGTATTTTTGTCTTTATCTATATTAGTCCCATGGTATTAAATTAATACCACCAAATGAAAGGTATTAGTTATACACCCTCTAATACCATGTAGGGTGTATAACTACTAGTATATACTAGATCACTACTAGTATATATTTATGTTAGGGAAAAGACCCAAATATGCTGTTAAACTTTCAGAAAATGCTGATTTATATCATCAGTTAAAAGTTTGGCTCATTTATATCATTACCGTTAAAGAAAAGGTTTGTTCATGCCATTATTTTTTAACGGTAATTTTACAAAATTATTTTTGACACGTGGCCAATTATAATCATCCACGTCATCAATTTTTTTAATAAAAAAGATTAAAAAATTCAATTTTTATTCAGAAGTTTGATTTTTTAATTAAAAAATTGATAACATGGCCAATTATAATTCGACCACGTCATCAATTTATTTAATAAAAAAATTTTAAAAAAATTAATTCAATTTTTTTTTCAAAATTATGACTTTTTTATAAAAAATTGATGATGTGACAAAATTATAGTTGGTCACGTATCAAAAATGGTTTTGCAAAACTAATGGCATGAATGAGCCTTTTTTTTAATTGAAATGGTACAAATAAACGAAATTTTTAGCTGATGGCATAAATGAGTCTTTTCTAAAAGTTCGATGACATATTTGAGCCTTTTTTCTTTATATTATTATTAGTATATATCAAAATTATAAATTATTATAATGTCCCATCAAATAACTTAAATATTTTCTACTAAAATATAAAAATTTTGAGTCAAGTATATACTAGATCACTACTAGTATATATTTATTTTATTAGTAGTATATATATAGTGAGAATCTCCAAAGTTAAAAATGTAAATTACATAATGTCCCATCAAATACCTTAAATATTTTCTATTAAGATATAAATATAAGTTATGCCTCTTAAGAATGAACTACCCTACTAATAACTAATTAAAAATACTCACTAGACAACCCCACTATAGGTTTATTAATTATTAATTCAAAGAACTTAATATATACTAACACATATACATAGCTCGATTATTATAATTTAAATAACTTACAAAATAACATATTCTCACTAAAATATTGTATTTAATTATCATCTTTTTTTTTGGTTTAGATATACGATAATTTCGTGTTATTTATTGGGTATAGTAATAATAAGTTCAATTTAAGAAATAACATGAATATTAGAAAGGAAGTGATGAGTTTTCTATTTTAAACTATGTTCTAAAGGGAAGGATTTTGAACAAAATAATGTCATACTAAACATATTAGGATTAAAAGTAATACACAATGGGGGGTTGAATGACATTTTCTCAATGCATCAACCACAAAACTAATTTAGGAATAATAATAAGAAAAGTATATTTTCTTATATTGGTGGGATTATGATATATATGTTTTCATATTTTTATCAATATCGGTAACAAAAGTAGAGATTATAATAAATCAATAAAAATAGATGAAAAAAAATAATATATCTAGAATATCATTTATAAAAAAGTATTTGATGAGAAATTTTAATGTATTTGTATTTTATAAAATTTTAAAAAATATATTATATATATAAAATTGTACCTTTATTATTCTAATAATGAGAAGAAGAAAAACTTTGTTAATCTTAATGTTAGTCTTATTTTTTTAATCTTGGCAAGTCACAATTCAATGATTTACTGTTGTCATTCACGTGAATTGTTTTTTATATTTTCACATATAACTATTTAAATTAAAAATATTATTTTAATAAAATTAATATTATTATACAATACAATTTACTGCATGACATTAGAAACTCATTTTTAAAAATATACAACAAGAGTAGTAGCTATGTCAAATCCATCAAAAATGGATGAAAAAATTAATATACATGAAATAGCATTATAAAAAAGTAGTTAATGATATTTTTATTATATATTTGTATTTTATAAATTAATTAAAACAGGTAAAAAGGAAATTATATGTTCCTAATTTTATTTTTAATCCTCTGTTGTACCTTTACTATTCTCATGAGTAAAAAAAGCTTTATAAATTTTAATGATATCTAATAATTTTGATCTAGAAAAATAAATCAAAATTTAACAATTTACATTTACCATTCACAAATATAATTTATAATTTCACATATAATTGTTTACACAAAATTTATATTTTGATCAAATTAATATTATTTAATAATAAAATTAACTAAAATATCATATTCAATTTGTAATCTCACGCAATTTTTGTGGTAGATATACGATTGTTTTGTGTTATTCTTTTGGTATAGTAATAATATGTCCAATTTAAGAAATAAAATGAATATTACAAAGGAAATGATGAGTTTTCTATTTTAAACTATGTCTTAAAAAGGAAAGATTTTGAAACAAATTGATGTCATTCTAGACATATTAGGATTAAAGTAGTTCCATTTTCTCCATCCACGTACCACAAAACTTATTTAGAAATAATATTTTAAAATGTATAATTTCTATGCAGGTAGGATCATGCATGTCATATAATATATTTTTTTTCTTTATGGTCACAAAAAATCAATCAAAAGAGATTTAAAAACAATATATTCAAAATATCATAATTTAATGGGACATTTTTAATAAATACAATTTATAAATAATTAAATAGAAAGTAAAAAAAGAAACCACATTTATATCTAATTAAAATTAATTTTCCATTATTCTAATAGAAAAGAAAACACTTTGTACTAAATGTTAATATTGTCTTATTGTTTTAATCTTGACAAAAAAAATCAAAATTAATTTCTATACATGTAGGATCATGCATATCATATAATATCTATTTTTTTTGTTACGGTCGCAAAAATCAATCAAAAGAGATTTAAAAACCGTATATTCAGAATATCAGAATTTAATGAGTCATTTTTAATAAATACAATTTATAAATAATTTAAAAAAAGTAAAAAAGATATCACATTTATATCTAACTAGATTTAATTTTCATTCTAATGGGAAAAAACACTTTGTACTAAATCTTAATATTATTTTATTATTTTAATCTTGACAAACAAGTCAAAATAATTTCTATACAGGTAGGATCATGCATATCATATAATATCTATATTCTTTTTCTTATGGTCACAAAAAATCAATCAAAAGAGATTTAAAAAAAAAACAATATATTCAAAATATCAGAATTTAATGAGACATTTTTATCAAAACAATTTGTAAATAATTAAAAAGAAAGTAAAAAAGAAACCATATTTATATCTAATTAAATTTAATTTTCCATTATTCAATGAGAAAAGAGAACACTTTGTACTAAATTTAATATTGCCTTATTATTTTAATCTTGACAAAAAAATCAAAATTAATTTCTATACAGTATACAGGTAGGATCATGCATATTTTACTATATATATATATATGTACATACATATATATTTATGGTCACGAAAATCCAACTAAAAGAGATTTAAAAACCATATATTCAGAATTGCAAAATTTAATGAGATATTTTTAATAAATACAAACTCATAAATAACTAAAAAGAAAGTAAAAAAGGGACCACATTTATATCTAATTAAATTTAATTTTCCTTTATTCTAATGAGGAAAAAAACTCTTTTTACTAAATCTTGATATTGTTTTTTTATTTTAATCTTAACAAACAAGTCAAAATATTTTCTATACAGCTAGGATCATGCATGTCATGTAATATTTATCTTTTTTTTTTCTTATGGTCACAAAAAATCAACCAAAAGAGATTAAAAAACAATATATTCAAAGTATCATAATTTAATGAGACATTTTTAATAAATATTTTGTATTATTTTATAAATAATTAAATAAAGTAAACCAAATTTATATCTAATTAAATTTAATTTTCCATTATTCTAGTGAGAGAAAAAACATTTTGTATTAAATCTTAGTATTGTCTTATTATTTTAATGTCGAGAAAGAAAGTCAAAGTACAATGATTTCACATGAATTGTACTTATAATTATTTAATACAAAAATAATAAAAAGTAATTATTTTTTATGATAGAAATATGTTCATTAAAGATTGTGTAAATTGTTTTGTAACGTTTTTTTGGGGGCTGTGAGTTGGCGTGAAGGCGGCAAATGGGCAAGTGAATAGCATATCTCCATATTCCGAAATTACCCCTATTTATAAGTAAGGCAGAATAGCACTTAAGTTTTGGCGGGCTGGTGAAAATATTTGTAATGAAAGGGTAGAGAAGTCATTTTAGCAGATCCTGGCGCTTAGGGTTTTCGGCAATGCCTTTATAAAGAGCACCATTTTCTATCCTGATCACCCACTTCTTCTGTCGGTTCTCTTACAGCAGTCGGTTTAATACTTTGATCATTTCTCTGTTTTTGCTTCCTCTGATTCAGATGGATCTAACTGATAAGGTGAGTGATCAACATTCATCATTTTAACTTTGATTTGATCAAATTGATCATGCTTGTTTTTGTTTTACTCTGTTTTGATTTTATTTGATTTTAGGTGATTGGATCTGAGGCAACGGAGATGACAACTCCAGAAGTGATGATTTCATCTGAAATGGAAGTAAAAGCTGCTGAAATGATGATTTCACCTGAAATCAAAGCGAAAGCTCCTGAAGTGATTTCCTCTGAAATCCAGATGAAAACTCCTGAAGTGATTTCATCTGAAATTCAGATGAAAAATTGTGTGAATTGTGGTGCTATGAAAACGCCTCTTTGGCGTAGTGGTCCTGCGGGTCCTAAGGTAAATTTACATGATCAATTAATTTGATTTTCGAAAATGTCGTGATTAATCTAATGTTGATCGGACGATGATTTGTTTGAAAATGCAGTCGCTGTGCAATGCTTGTGGCATCAGGAGCAGGAAGAAGAAGAGAGATCTGCTCGGGTTGAACAAGGATGAGAAAAAGACGAAGAAATCGTCTGCTAATTCTGCTAGCAGCAGCAATGTGGACAAGAAGAAGAAGAAGAAAATATGTGCAGTGAAGAATGCTGATGCAATTCCAATTCACTGGACTGATCTTGATGATGTTGAACAAGCTGCTTTCTTGTTGATGTGTCTGTCTTGTAGCTCTGTTTGTGCTTGATCAGGGCCATTGGTTGGTTGGTGGGTGAGGGAGTGAGTGATCAGTGGTGGGTAGTAGAATCATAAAACAGCAATAGATAAATAGTTGAGCAATTATTTCTCCTAGGACTTGAAAAGGATACTTTTATCCTTTTTAGATTTTTATTTAATTTATTAGTTTAATCAAATTCCTTGTTATGCTTAAAAGATTCATCAAATATATGGAAAATTTACTTCTTTATCAAATCGGTTCCTTTTCATCCTACGTCACAATTATTATTTTCATTAAATAATGCATTTACAACCATCAGTATAAAAGTGTGGTACAAACATTTGACTAACTAATAATTTAATACAAACTACAATTTGGATTTGATCAGACGATGTTGACATGACAAACGAATATAACATGTGTGAAAATCTAAATCTCTGAATTTCTAAAATAATCGCTTTAATTTAATATATGAAAATTTAGATTAATTGAATTTTTAAAAATATCGCTTTATTAGTTATGATTTAATATGTATATTTGAAGAATTTAATCAATATTGATAAAAAATTATGCCTTTTTGAGTGTGATGACAATTCATGTGTTTTTTGAGAAATAATAGCCTAATTGAATATTCCTAAAGAATTTATTTCTCTTTTTGGAATCTGCTTAACGCGAACCTAATTTTCCAGCTCGTCATTCTGATTTTTTTTGTTGATCCTTTGCCCCCTTATGCCTGTCTACATTTTGTCTAAATTAATATTTTCATTTTTTAAAATGGAAAAGGTCAAAATATATTCTTGTCTTTTGTAGTTTTGCTAATATATTTTAATCACATATATTTTATTATGGTCAAATACTTTGTTCAAATATGTTTTTGTTTTTATCTTTTTTTATTCCCTTAATCAAGTTACGAGATAAAATTATTCGATTGACATCAGATCTTGATGTGTTGTTTGGCTATGGATTTGATGTTGCTATGTGAAAAATTTGAGTTTTTAAAATATGTATTTATGTGTTGTAAGTGAAAATTTGAAAATATTTAAAGATTTAGATTGTAAAATCTAATATAATTAAATGTTATAATCAAATGAATATTTAATGATAGAATTTTAAATCTATTTAAAATATCTATAATTAAAATTAAGGTGTAAAAAATGAATCTAAACATAGGTAATCCGCCTAACCAGTTCAGAATAAGAAGGGTTAAGCTCAAGATAATTTGAATTGGGTTTAATCTCAACACATCTAAACCTAACTCATTTGAAGAGAATCCTCAATTGAGCCCAATTGAATCTCAAATTTAAATATGTTCTAAAACTTTTTACTAAGATATGTTCGTATATTTAATGTATGAATCAATAACTATTTAACATCCTTTAAGATTTATCTATCTATTTTTTACTTTTTTTTTAAAAAAAATAAATTTCAGTTGAAATTGAAATTGTGATTATAAAATCTAAATATCGATATGTTAAATTATTGAGATTAATCGGGTCAAATTGGGCACGTCAAGACCTAACCCATTTTTTGTTAGGACCGGAAATAAGCAGGTTGTAACGCGGAAGCTAGCAAAGCAAACCTCGAAAGACCACGAGTAAGAAGACAACGAGAAATATACCAAAAGACATAGAGATTTAACGTGGTTCGGTCAATCGACCTACGTCCACAAAGGAGATGAGCAATCCACTATAAATATGAGAGTACAAAATACAGAGAGAAACAACCTCAACCAATTCACTCGGAATACATGGGAGGTTCACACAAGTGATAACGTATCAAGCTTGTGACCCCACAAATTCTCCCTCTAACCAAAACTCTCAAACCCTTAAGACTACATTGTGAATGCTAATTAAGTTAGAAAGAATATGCCTCTATTTATAGAGTCCTAAACTTTTTCCTACAAGAAAAGAGAAAAGGATTAGTCAATCCAAAACATTTTCCTACAAGGAAAACCTATTTATGGTAAGAAATTTAGGGTAAATAAAACCCAATAATTAGCCCAAAGTAAATTTGAGCGGGTCAAGACCCAATCCAAATTTTATTTCAACCCATTTTAATATTTTCAATTTCAAACCAACCCTCTCATTTGACGCCTCTAACCAAAACTAACCAAGAACACAGATTTATCTAGCCCAATATGAAAGACATATGGTCCCAATGCTTTGACGGTTTGACCCACTAAAATATGGATATATCTTGAGAATTACATAAATTTAATATGAAATTACAATCTATTCCTCTTTAGTTTATAATTACATTAATTTCTTAAAAACTAACACAAATTGGATACATAATATATAGCTCAGATACATTATATTAAAGATTATTTCAGATACATTATAACATAAATCGGATACATTATATATACTCAGATACATTAAAAGCTAGCTCAGATATATAATATGTAGTTTGAATACATTAAAGAAATAAGAAATTTTAGAGATTTTAGAAACGGAAGGAATATTGAAAATAAAGGAAAGAACGTATAATTCAGTAATTTTTCCTTAAAATATTTAATTATTTTAATGTGTTTTGTTCGCTTGTCTAGTCAGTTCATGGCGATATGATAAAAGTTAATAGTTTCGTATTATAATACAATACAAGTTATGCTTTACAATTTTAAGAATATAATAAGTTATGACACTTAATTATTACAGAACTATGTCGTTAGAGCAAAGGCGTACATAGAGAGGGATCACTGGATTCACGTGAATCTATATTTTTCTTTTGAAATCATATATAGTAATATTATATTTTTTATTTTTTTTGTTGTTAAATTTAAATATGTGAATCCACACTGAAAGGTATTGTGCAATGCAACTATGATTCATTAATCCACCTCGCGGTGAGGTTAGAAATTTGACTTTTATATCTATCTTGTTTTATTTTTCTTTCTAAAATTTGGTAAATCTCTCTAAGTGGTTATTGATTACACTTTTAACTTTTTTTTAAAAAAAAATTAGTTAAGCATTTTAATTTTGGTAATATAATTAAATTTTAATTGTTTCGATAATTAAAACTTAAATATCAAAACTAATTAAATATACCTTTTCATCATAGTGCATCCATCATTTCAAAATCTTGAATACTCTCAACGTTAACAGCATAAATTTAGTTTCCAAATGTTATGTCTTTAGAAGTTCATAACCCACGCGTTAGGCCTTACCTAACTTACAAGAGATGTGAAGATCTAGTGCTAATTAACCAATTAATTGCATATATATATATATATATATATATTTATTACTCTATATTAGAAGCCAACAAGTAGAGGGACGAACGCTGCAACATTTAATTGTACAAGATGTTGTATGAATTGTACAACATATTTGGCTCATCACGTGTGTGTTGTATATTTTTTTCCAAACCACGTGTACATACCATAAAATTTTTTTACTTTCTCTCTCCACTCAAATTCTCTTCCTTGCTTACAGTTCTTTTCAATTTTTCGCACTTTTATTTCTTCTTCGTTATTCTACGATCATATCTTCTATCTCTTTGTTTTTTTTTAGTATAAGCTAAGCAGAGGATGTATGGACACAACTATAAAATTATGTTTTGTGTTGTAAAAGTTGAACTATTTAAACCCTCTGTTTTGCTTTACTTTGTCCCATATGATAGTTTCTTTTCTTTTCTTTGGCTATACTGCATTTCACTCTTGTGAATATTCTAAAGGTTTTAATGTATTCCATTGTTTCTATGTGACTTTAGCGAACATGTGTTAATGTTGTCGAATTTTTGGATAGCTTTTGTTGAAATTTCTTCATGCATGTTAAACTATCCAAAACGTTGATGTTTCTAATTTGGTTTTATTTGCTCAGGTAAGTTTTTAAATTGTTTTTCCCTTTTGTGTTCTTCTTCACTATCTTTTTTCTGGTGAATAAGAAGAAATTTGAGCAATCACATGTGGGTCTGTAAAAAAAAATATTATATAAGAAAACAAGGATAAGATGAACACGCCAATTTTAATTTATACACGAAAAATTATTTTCTTCTGAACAATTATATTCAAACTCTACAATATGTTGTACATGTCATGAATACACCAGATTTCTCAATTTTTTTATTATTGAACATGTATATACTTTTATTTTTCTCAGAGATTTGTGATTATAGTCAGTATTGGTGATGTTTTCTCTTACTGTAAATTCTGCTCGGACCTAGGTCTTTATACCACTACTAAGTTTCTGGTGTTTTAAGATATCTGAAAATTACTTTACTAAGTTTCTGGTGAAATTGGGGAGAATTTTTAGAATTTGTTTTCTAAAGGTAAGTTGCCATAACAAGATCTATGGACTCTCCAAAGATGAGATACTTTGTTAGTTCTTATTAATTTTTTCATCTGGAACAAGTTTTCAAGAACCTGATTAAATAGGAGGTTTATAGCAAAATATAAGTTAGAGAATTCTTTAGACATGAAAAAAGATATTCTGAGATAATTGAATAGATCAAAATGATATATACCCACAGATATTATGGAATATCATAACTGTAGTTAAAATATCAAATATAAAACTTCACTCTCAAGAAAACTAACTCTGCCTTCAATGGTAACAAAGAAGAAGTTATTAACATTTTTAAATGTATTAATTTAGTTCTATTCGTAACAAGTACTTGACATAAATAATGAGATGGAGACACAAAGTGTAACTTCACACCTTCATATTCAATGATATTCCATTGTATTTTCTTTAGATAAATTAAATGATTGCTAAAATTAGAAGTTAAATGAGGGAAGATCAACAGTGAAGCAACAATTTCAATTTTCACTCAATTAGCTGTTGCAATTGAAACTTTTGTTTATATATTCTCCTTTAGGCTTGAGTTTAAGCAAGGAAAATATTTTGATATTATTTGTGTGTGATAAAATTGACGTTCATTATCCTTTCTTTCCCATTTATATTCATTCCTAATTAGTTTTTTTGGTTTTCATTTCTTCGTTGCTTCTACTGAGATATTTTTATCTCTTTGTTTGACTATACTTTCTTTATTTTTCTCCTTCTAATGAAATTTTAGGTCACTTTTCAAAATTGATTGGGTTGATGATGAATATGCTATTATTTGAATTTGTTGCTTTTTTATTTGTTTTATCAGTGAAATCATTTTTTGAGGTTTGATGTATATATACTTGGCCTTTTCTTTTACAGGATTTTACATGCATGTTATTATTGTTGACTCAGAGCGCACGCTCTTGAAGACCCAAAAGAAATATTTGGAAGAAGCCAAAATATGTAGAAGAAGGGTATAAGGTTTA